TCAGTAATTGTTTCCTCATTTTAAAATATCAGTAGCCTAATAAAATGTTTTATTTTACATGGAGCAGGACGCTGCATGGGTGCCACCCTGTTTGATAACCCACTTGGTAACACATCTTGGCGACTTTTACTTGCTGACTGCAAATAGAATCTAACAGGAGAGTTTTCCGGAAGAAATTTTCCCATTATTTTTTTTCCCTTAGGGATTTCAAAATATTCTTCTATAAATAATTAGAAGCCATAAACAAAATCAGTCAGCTTCAAGATGTAGCACACTATTACCATTGATTTCAAGTAAAAAAAATATACATTACCATTCAAAAGTTTTGGGGTATTTTTTATTTAAGAAATTATTGCTAATTATAGCATAGGATGCATTAAATGGATGAAAAGTTCCAGTAAAGACACAAAAGGTTTCTATTTCAAATAAATGTTGTTCTTTTGAACTTTCTGTTCATCAAAGAATCCTGAAAAAAAATAGTATCTTGTTTTCCACGAAAATATTAGGCAGCACAACTATTTTCAACATTGATAATACTAAGAAATGTTTCTTAAGTAGCTAATCAGCATATTAAAACAAATTCTGAAGTATCATGTGACTAAAGACTGGAAATATTAGGCAGCAAAACTATTTTCAACATTGATAATACTAAGAAATGTTTCTTAAGTAGCTAATCAGCATATTAAAACAAATTCTGAAGTATCATGTGACTAAAGACTGGAAATATTAGGCAGCAAAACTATTTTCAACATTGATAATACTAAGAAATGTTTCTTAAGTAGCTAATCAGCATATTAGAACAAATTCTGAAGTATCATGTGAAGACTGGAGAAATGACTGCAAAAAATTCAGCTTTGCCATTATAGGAAAAAAAAATAAACATTCAAATATAAAAAAAGTTATTTAAAATTGTAATATTTCACAATATTAATGTTTTCAGCAGTATTTTTGGTCAAATAAATGCAGCCTTGGATACTCTAAATTACTAACCCCACTGACTGTCAATCAGATTGCTTTATTGCATGGAGAGGGCAGTCATTGCTGAGATCTCTTTTATCCTGATTTATTTGCCATGATTCTCTGATTTGTGGATATTTTTATTCAGCATAATGGTTAGTATAGTTTGTTATCTGGAACTTACATGTATGTATATACACACACACACACACACACACACACACATAGATGCCTTTTATTAGCAGCAGTTTTTATGGGCCGCTATGTGTAAGCCTTCTGTCATACTGAAACGGTCAAAGACTCAAGAGCAAGTTGACTGTGCATCTGCAACTTGGAAAAGTCATTGATTGTGAGTGATGACACGTTGACTGTTCCAAGAAGGCGGATGCATTGAAGGTCTGAATGTGGCATCTATGTATATATGCTCCAACACCTGAAATGGGTGTGTTAGACAAAGGAGACATTAAAGGATTAGTTTACTTCCAGAATAAAAAAATCATGATAATTTACTCACCCCCATATCATCCAAGATGTCCATGTCTTTCTTTCTTCAGTCGCAAAGAAATTAAATGACCTTTACAAAATTAAAAATTAAAAAATGAAAAACGATGTTGGACGATGTTGAAGATGGAGGAGAAAATTAGATAAGGTTTTTCGCCCTACCCTATCTTTTTGAACCAGAGTACTCAAACGAAGTAACCGTGACCTTTCCAACGTGATTACATCATGTGTGAATTTACGGACGTGCATCGCAGAGCTAGTGCAAGACGTGCATTTGTGGTTAAAAAGTATATACATTTTTATTTTTTTTAGAAAATGACCGATCATTTTGCTGGATAAGACCCTTATTCCTCGGCTGGGATCGTGTAGAGCTCTTTGAAATCGCAGTCCGGGGGCACCTAGATCGGACCAAAGGGGCGTTTTAGTGTCAGCGATTAAAGGGACAGGAGCTCGACTCCCCCCACCCCCTGCATGCCACTGCTTGCAGAACACACTGGGAATGTTTGAGCCTAAAACTTTATCTACAAGGCCACACTACCACCTAAGCAATATATTAAATATGTAGTTAACACGGCAAATGATAGTTGGAAGAAATATACCTATTGAGATTAAAACACTCCTCAACAGCCTGAAGAGTTGTGCATCCTAGTTTTGTTTGGACTCCAGCTGTGTTAGAGGCTCTTCTCAGAAAGGTACATCATGCTTTTCCCAGGAGTACCTCATGTTAGCTTGTTATCCCCTTAACCAGAACCACTTTTTTCTGTACTTATTTCCACTTCAAAGGGATCAATTTTTCTTCTTAATTCTGGAATCAGGCCAGTCTCTGTACTGCATAAGTGGCTCGTGAATTCATAATATTCTGTCATGGAGCAATGTTGGAATGGCAGGTTATGATCCCTGAGAGCATGACTGTCATTATCACTGATTATATCCAGATTTGCATTTAAGTACAATTATTTATGGCCTACACTAAATCTGCATTATAGACAGTTTGATGGTCTCACGGGTTCGATTTCAGACAATACAGCTGGAGTGGTGACCAGGAGAGGGGGGTTTCAGAGACTGGAGCAGAGCATGTACCTGGTGCCAGTCGTTGTGGAGGACGGCGGGTACCCAATCCGAAGCAGCACGGGGACGGTGTCGGTGCGGGTGTGTACCTGCGACACAGACGGCTCCCTGCTTTCCTGCAATGCAGAAGCCGTCTTCTTTCCCATGGGACTCAGCACTGGAGCTCTAATGGCCATAATGCTGTGCATTGTCATTCTGCTGGGTGAGTTAGACATGTTTGTGTCCAAAATAACACTGGAAAGACAAAGAAATATGCATTTGATTAATTTAATGTGATAAATAGAGAAGATACAAGAAAACTTAGGGGTTATGTTCGTGTAG